CTCTGCTGAGGATACATTCATCCGAGTCACAGAAATCACAAGTTACCAGCAGCTCAGATTAGAGAGTCTGAATCTGAGATCTTTGGTTCCAACTGACGTGTCTTTGTGCAGAAAAGGTGAACAGATGGCGTACACAGTCAAACCCAGTGAGATGGTTCGGGATGGAGCGCAGAGTGAAGGCAAAGGACCAACAGGTGCTCAGCATCTCTGAAACCATTTCAGGAGACGACCTCATGGAGCTCACGGAGACGCAGAGAGTGAGCGAAGCAGGAATCAAAGAGTCTAAGATATCCTGTTATTTCACACGTCTGTGTTTCCTACAGAACTCCACATGCGTTCATTCGTAGTTTGATGCCTTCAGTGAGAACTTCAACATAAATATTCATGAAAATAAAAACAGGCATGTCCAAACTTTTGACTGTGTTTTAATTTAATCATGATGTAAATTATTGTGTCAGCATTTGTTTTTCCTGAATACAAAACTCTTCACATTACACTTGTTGTTTATTACAGGAGCATGAAATGATGACGTGATGATGGGATGTTGTTGATATTTACCCAGATGTTACCACAGCTGCTGTGGGTCACATTAGAAAGCACAAACACGCATCGACGGCGTAGCTTCAGCAAACTATTACATGCTGATAAACAAACTCCTACACTTTAGTCTGATTCGCAGCAATGAGGTTGTGCTCTACCAAGAAACAAGTGAACCTTTTTTTAAGGCAACTTTTTGTTGGATTCAGTCCCAAACAACTGTCCCAGAAAATGACCGGTATTCACAAAGCATACAACAGATGGATGAAGCACCAGAGCCACAGACTTGTTTGTCCTTCAGAGAAAGACTGTGGCAGACGTCTATGTCATGTCCTCACTAAACACGTCCCCATGAGATTTACTATCAAATCTTACTCAACACAGCGTTCATTCAGTAACTTACTGTGTGATTTAAGATTCACCATAATCACCGTGTAGCTGAAAACACCAGCGAAGGATTTCAGTGCTCCAGTAGAACCAGTCCATGAACCATTAACCTAAATGTGTCTCCACTGCTGCTTCAAGGATGAGTGTGAGCCACACTGCGACAGTAAGGCTGATGATCATTGGATCCAGCTTCACATTTAACTGGATACTTTATGTAATGGATTAGAAAAAATGCCTAACAAATAAATGTGTTAGGTAACAGCACGAATCTCTCTCCTGCTTCACACTGAAAATCAAAAATTCTCTTAAAGTTAAGAAGTTTAAAAAACAACAAAAACCTCACCTGATATCACCTGTAAAGCTCACTGACAAACAGTTTCTACCTGTTTGTTTAGTTTGTGCATAAACAGAAAGGTAAAATTACCAATCTGTGGTCTCAGGGAAACATTCCTGCTCTAACGATCTCTGCTGCTGTCAGATCCACAGAGCAGTGGTTTATAAAGTCACGCAGCAAGCAAATGGCTGCTGGTTCCTTTGGGGGTGCATCAAAAAGGGCATGTGCCAAATCCAGCAAGGAAAATTTGAAGGTACCATTAACTGTGTGCAGAGTAAAAGCGTGATTCCCAGATCACGAGAGAGTCTACTTTTACTAATGAGTGACTAAAGAGTGCCATAACCCCTCCACCAAAGTACAAGTACAGACAACAACCAAACCCAGACTCGTTCATTGCCAAATGGAGAAGCATGATTCATCCCTCCAGAGAGCACATCTCCACTGCTCTAGAGCACAGCGGCAGTGTGCTTGAATGCAGCTGCTCGGTCACAGGAAGTTCTCTGCTCTCTAGCTGAAGTTTGGAGGTCTGTGGAGGTTAGCAGAAAGCTGGCAGCCTCTGTGCACGATGTCTCGATGCACGCTCAATCATCCAGGCCCCGTCCTATCACAGCACTAAACTGGACTTCACTGAGCTCCTGAAAGCAACCACTCTGCATGCCTTGGTGACCTTATACGCCGATTATATATGAACTCAGTGGTTTGGATGGGTTAGTGAAGACTTTTGGCAATATAGAGCAGATCCAGCTTATAACTCAACCTGAAACATCGACTGTCAACCAACCGAGACCAACTGTGTCCTTCTGCCCATGTCCAGATTCTTTGGTATTCTTGTAAAGAAATCACCGTTTCCTGAAATGTCAGATTTTTAGTTTTCAGAAAAACAAACCTGTAATACAAACACATTAAACCAGTCAAGCATTCCCAAAGTAAACCTCAACAATAACACTGCTGTGTGACGGGAGACGCCGTCGCTCTGACGCTCATTGCAGCCACGAATCATGCTCAGGTGCATAAGGAAAGGAAAGCAGTGAAATGAGATGTGCAGGTACACTTCAAACATGACACATAGGAAGGATCACTGTGGAACAACTGACAGATGAACCAACTGACTGCATCCAAAACATGATAACTAGGGTAACAGTGGAGGGGATGATGTGGATAGATAACTACTGGAAACATCTGGCTTGAGTCTGCTCCCCCTCATTCAAAAATATAGAGTTCTGCAAGAAATAACTTGGACGTAAACTTTGGATAAGAAAACCAAACGACCAAGATTATCAGCAGCAATAGTTTCATAAATGCACATTCCTCTAAATGTTTGATATTTCATGAGAGGGGATTTTTCATTAAAAACGAATAAATAAATGACTCGTTGAACGAAATTGTGCAGCTTTGGTGCTCCAGCATGTAAAGATAAACTGAAGGTTGACTGTGTGACACTAACAGATGCCTGCAGTGACTCAAGCCAGAACCTGCCTAAGACCTTACTTGCTGGTAGAGTTGTGGCCTTGGTGCAGAGTTCTCAATCATAGTGTGAATCATGAAGATTAGAGGCTCATTCTCCTTCGTCTAGCGGAGCGCCGTGGAGAAAGAAGATACAGTGATGTAATAACACAGCTATAACTGTTGCTGGAGGACGAAATGCTGTTTAATAACTGATTTGTAAACAAAAACTGGGAGACAAAAAGTAGGATAAACACACCTGTGACAGTTTAGTGTCACTCCACCTCTGACCAATTTATCCTAAAGCCTGTCTGATCAATCCTAACTCTCACCTCAACTCTATAATAACCTGCAAAGAAATGTCAGGTCATGTATACAACCAAAGAGCAATGTTTATGACATTTCTCCAAGGAGGTGCTTTGGGATTTTTGGATGTAATTAAAAAAACAACAAGTCTTCATTGATTCAGTGGTTTCTACGTGTGACCAAGGACCAGATGGTATTTGTCCAGGTGAGGAACTGCAGTTCTCCCGTAGGATTGAGCTAATCACAGATTTAATGCACATACACTATGTTGCCAAAAGTATCTGCTTGCTTGCATTCACAGGCACATGAACTTGAGTGACTTCCCATTCTGAATCCATGGGGTTAAATGTGATGTCAGCCCTCCCTTTGCAGCTACACCAGCTTCCGTTCTCCTGGGAAGGTTTTCCACGAGGTTTAGGAACGTGTTCATGGGAATTTTTTGGCCATTCTTTGAGATGTGCATTTGTGAGGACAGACACTGATGTTGGACTTGGCCCGGCTCGCAGACTCTGCTCTATCAGGTTGAGATCAGGACTCTTCAGTTGATCTCTTCCATAACAAGCTCACTAATGTCTCTATGGACCGTACTATATTGGAACTGGAATCCTCAAACTGATCCCACAAAGCTGGGAGCATGAAACTGTGTGGTCTGGTGAAGCATTAAGAGTTGCTTTCAATGGAAAAAGGAGCTGAACTCCTCAAAATCCCAACTTATATACTTCTATACCCCGTCTTACAAACCATACGATTGGTAAATGCAGTCAGGCAAACATCGCTCTCCTCCATCGGACTGCCAGATGGAAAAGTGTGATTCAGCACTCAACTGATGCTTTGCACTCGGTGATATAAGCTTGGATGCAGATACTCGGCTATGGAAACCAATTACATGAAGGTTTTAGACACCGTTCTTCAGCTATCTGAAGGTCGGAGGTCTGTAGTGACGGATTCTGCAGAACATTGGTCATTTCTGCACCCGCTGACCCTACTCTTTGATTTTATGTAGCCTCTACTTTGTGACTGAGTTTCTGCGATTTCTAATCCTTTTCACTTTGTTCCAATAGCCCGAACAGCTGACTGAGAACTATTTAGCAGCAAGGAAATTTCACAACTGTACTGGGTGCACTGGTGGCACGATATGGTACCATGATGGAATTCACTGAGGTCCTTAGACCAACCCATTCTCAAATAGTCTGCATGCCTATGAGCTTAATCTTTACACCTTTGGCCACGAAAGTGACGTTGATGATTTGGAGGGTAAATGGTAAAAAGCGCTTTTCTAGTCCCTAAGGACTAAAAGCGCTTTACACTACATCCACACATTCACACACTGGTGATGGCAGCTACATTGTAGCCACAGCCACCCTGAGGCGCGAGGCTGCCGGACACTGGCGCCACCGGGCCCTCTGACCACCACCAGTAGGCAACGGGTGAAGTGTCTTGCCCAAGGACACAACGACCGAGACTGTCGGAGCCAGGGATCGAACCGGCGACCTTCCAATTACAAGACGAACTCCCAACTCTTGAGCCACGATTGGTGTCAATACTTTTGGCAATATAGTGTAGGGTTTTAAAATTCCCGTACAATGAATATCAACTTGCAAAGACAATGAACATCAGTTTGCTTTGAATTTCAGCAGCATGAAAGTAAGGACATGTTATACACCAGCAGTCCCCAACATTGTTTTTGCACCACGACTGGTTTATGTTCGACAATCCAGTCTTTAAGTCTGACGTCATCAGCTGTGCCTGGGCCCAAACTACGACGCAGCTCCCAAAGTCAAACAAACACTGCAGCACCACTGAGAGTTAAAAACTGTGAATTCTTTAATGAAATGATCAGTGGCAATAAAAACTGAGACAGTGATCACTGACTGTTTTTAGGGGCTTGTTCAAATTAAACTAACAAGATAAAAGTATTAAAACATGTTAAAAACAGCAAAGCCTTGGGCCAAAGTGCTACAAATGCTGCAGGACGTTTGTAATGCAATTTCAGCTTCAGAGTGAAAGACCGAATAAACACGCAAAGAAATAAAGATAAAATAGATAATTGTAAATGTGTAAATTTACAGAAGATATTCTAGAAACAAGCAAATGTTCTCTTCCAGTAAGTGGAAACTGGATCTTCCCATCACAAAGTGTTTTATTTGATTTAAGACAAGCGGAGCAGAGTGCTCACCTGACTTTCCAGGTAAATAAGGTTCCTCTGGAGATGATGGAAGAGAACATCAGTCTTCAGTAGCCAAGAAGGAAGGAGAGGAGAAATAGGAAACGTTTGGTAGACACGTTAGTACTGAGGCAAGGAAGCAGGAAAGGAAAAGACAAAGTTAGAGAGGAAGAGTTCACAAAAACAGAAGAGAGAGAGAATGACAGCAAAGAATCTGAACCTCCGTTTATGTACAATCGTCCCTGAATATCGTCATGGCTTCGTCGCAATGATCAGAGTAAGAATGTAATAATAGTTGGTAATCAGTAAAAACTCAGCATAATCTGTATGAATCTGCATGATAGAGACACACGCAGGACTTCGGTGAAACACGGCACAAACATCACGAGGTCGATATCACACGCATGTTTGTAAAAACCTGGAGTTTGTCAGGAGCATTCTGGACTTTTTCTTTCACGTGGTTGTGACATGTTTCCTACCGGAGGCATGTGCGAGGAGCATAAACGACTGTGGCGAGGTGGCAGCCGGGCGCCCCTTCATCCCAACGCAGAGCTTTTTCATGCTTCACCACGACTGACTCGATCAGCAGTCCAACTCCATCCTTTCCAAACTTCAAACAGGATGCAGCGCCACTTTAAATCCGGCTATGGCTTTGCTTTGGTAGGCACACGCTCTACATTTAAAACAGGTCTTGACCTGATCTGCCCAGCAACAAGCTGGCTGATGTCACATTTTATTGTCTTTGGGTTTCAGAGCTTTCCTGTAGGGGCGTTTTCACTCATTTATTCTGGTCCCAATCAGCTGATGAGTTTGTAAACTTTCACACAAGGAAAAATTCACGCGAACTCCAAACAAGCCAAAATGTGACACAAACCAAGTGGGAGTGTTCAGCC